TCTGAGGAGCTGGAGCAGGACTGAAAGGACCCTTCACCCTGAGCTGATGTTGGTGCCCTTCCCTCAGCTTCCTCCGGACACATGGACACCCACTTCTTCCTCAATCGTCTCTGGCGGGACCCCGATAAGGGAGTTGAGTCATGCTTGCCCTACCTCCCTGCAGCTCCCGAGAGGGTGAGGGGAGGCCCAGGGGGAGGAAGGGTAGTGATGGCAAAGAACAGGGCTCCCTCCTGGGAGTAGAAGCCTTGGCCTGGCCTGAGAACTTTGCTACCCATCCAGGTTCACGAAACATCAGCAACACACCCTGGACATCCCCGCTCTGGGAACTCCTCCTCCTTCAATACATTCCTGAGACACATTCCTGAGAAGTTGGGCAATTGGAAGCTCAGAATGGAGGACAGAAGGTCAAATCCCAGCAAGGAATGGAATGTAAGTGTATTGGGACTAAGGACCTTTGGGGCATACAGAGAACATAGAGTAGGTAACCCACAAAGAGAACTGAAGAAAGATGGGGAGCCACAGAAAGGGTCAAAGGGAGAGAGGCACAACTGAACAGAATCAGAATGTGAGAGGGCTGGGGGGGAGCAGCACACTGTCTGTTACCAAATTTGGCCTCTGAGTCCGAAACTGCGGGGTGGGGGAGGGTTTGTGGGTGAGACTGACATATCCGGCCTCAGGCTGCTAAAGCCTCATTTAAGGCTGGACTGGGTAGCTAACTGGCTGGACCCAATTCCTCCAACATAGCCCCTCCACATTCACATATGTAATGTATCCCAGCTTAGAATGTCACCAATGCTGTCTCTACATATCTCAGAAATGGCAAACATTTAGAGACTGAGTATCCAAATTGCAACTCTAAACCCACTTATTGCAAAGGGCCAATATTGTAGTTAAATCTAAATAATGAAGTTTCAGTTTAGAAAAAAAACCACAACTCTACATTAATATCTTTGTTTTAAAAAAAATACAGTCGGGGGCTGGGGATTTAGCTCAGCGGCATAAGCGCCTGCCTTGCAAGCAGGCAGTCATGAGTACTATCCCCGGTACCAATAAAAAAGAAAAAAAAAATACAGTAACACACGTGTCACAGGTTTACCACTATTACCTTAGCTTAACCACACAGGCCTACACAGATCACCCCCTCCCATCTTCTCCACAAATACGCCCCATCACAAGCACACCAAGGCCCAACACCCCAACTCCCAACATCTTTCCTCCTCTTGATGTATAGTTCTCCCTCCATTTACCCAGCCAGCATTCATTCTTTGAGGGCCCAATGTGGTGAATGGTCTGGGCCAAGCTTTCTGTGGCTAAGAACCACAGTAAGACATAGTCTTTGTCTTCAGTGGGGTCCCAGTCCTCCAGGTGGGTGGATAAACTAAACACACCGGTACAATAGAGAACAGGGTGCAACAAAAGCCAAAAAGCATGATAAAAGCTCAGAGAGATCCCTCTAGGTTAGAGAAGTGGGCCCAAGAAAGGTATCATTCAAAGTCAGAATTTTTAAAATGATAATAATACACAATAGCAATCTGTCATTTATTGACTATATGTCAACAGCATTTTATACATAATTTTGTTAATCCTTATAACAGCTCTGTAAAGTAGGTGTTATTTATTTTCTTTCTTATAGATCGGGAAACAGGCTCAAAGAATTTAAATACTCGCTCAACTGTTCACTGAAATAATTTTTCTTTTCTTCTTTTTTTCAAATCCATTTTATTCAAAGATAAATAGAGGGGTCGGGATTTAGCTCAGTGGCATAAGCGCCTGCCTGACAAGCGCGTGGTCGTGAGTTTGATCCCTGGTACCAAAAACAAAAATATAAAGATAAATAGAAAGAAAAAAATAAGAAAAAAACTGTAACAAAAATTTTAACAAAACTATAACAAAAACATCAATCGGGGGTGACAACAGCATACACACTGCGCGTTGTCATCCCCAAATCATTCAACCAGAGGAAATAACAAGTTTTGAAGCCAGGATCCGAACTCAGATCTCTGACTCCAAAGCTCAAATACTATCATGCCAGTGGAAATGAGTCAAAGGCAGCATTCTAGGCAGAGAGAACAGCATAAACAAAGGTGGAGAATCAAGAATCACACAGGAGCATTCAGGGAAACGAGCGGACAAGCGGGCTGATGTGTAGGGTGCCTGCAGAGGAGTTAAAGGGACGTCAGGTTTAGGGTGGAAAGGGAAGGGCAGACTTACACTGAGTGGGGTATCAGGAATTTTACCTACTGAAAGGCGACAGGAGGCAAAGGAGAGAAAAGCACATAACCCAAACTGGATTTTAGGAACATAACCATGCAGACTGGCTAAAAGAACACTGTATGAGTCCAGGTAAGAGGTGAGAAAGCCTAGAGAGAAAGCAGCCCCTCAGAAGAAATTGTAAGAGGCAGCAATGACAGAACCTAATGGTAACCTTCTTTGTCAGTACCCAGGTACCAGTGCCCAAAGTCTGGCTGGGGTCCCCTACCTTCTGGTCATCAGTAGGCACCACTCAGGAGGGTAGTTCAAGCCCAGGAAAGGAATTCAGAAAGAGGGAAGGATCAGATTGGGATGGAAATGTGGGGATGAGGCAATTAGAAAAGAGGATGGGATGTGATTAATAGTCAAGCAGAGACAGATAGGGTGGGGTTAGTGACTACACCAGGTTGGGAATGGGGGAAACGGTTTAAAGCAAGCCTGGGAGAATCACACAGCAGCGGTCACTGGATCAGGATGGGGCAAAGACAGGAATGATCACATCATTAGTGGCCAAGTCAGGGAATGATGGAATGAAGTCAGAGGCAGGTCAGACTAGAGGTTGACAGAACAAAAATGGGGCTATGGGTAAGCAGCTAAATTAGGCAGGGCTGTGGAGCAGGGGCACTGGCAGCGTCTAAGGGAACAGAGCTGGGGCTGGGGAAGGAACAGCATGAGGCAGTCAGTGGCTGAATCAGAAGCTGGGTAGATAGTGCTGTGGTCAGTGGTAAGGTCAGCCTGGGAGTAAACTGGGGGTGTGGTCAGTGGCCTGGCTGGGTGTGGGATCAGCAAGACCCAGTTTCCTCTTTGGGTCCCATTTCCTCTTTTCTCTTAGGGAGTGGGGGAAGGGGCTCTACAGCTGGACCAAGAAATTAAAGAAAGCTCCCAATCAGGGGATCCATGCAGTACGGGGCGGGGCAGAAGGGGGGTCAGCACATGACCACGTGGTATGCAGGGTACAAGTGAGTGAAAATGGTGGAAGCAAATGCTTTAAGATGATGGAAACCTCAGATTCGGGTAAGGGTAAGTTAAAGTAGCATGTGTGACAAGGTTTGGGAAGGAAGGCAGCAAGAAGGATGGGTGCACTGGTAAGGGGAATAACGGGAGGGTTTTAAAGAGTGAGGAAGCATTCTGTACGGAAGAGTGCGCAATGAAGAACCAGGGATAGGAGTCAAAGAGGAGGGCTCAACACCTAGGTGGTGAGGAAAGAGGGAAGCAATGGGATAAACTGTCAGGGGATTCAGTCATCCCCTGGTCTCTGGACAACAGTGTTCCTTTGTCCCCCCACTCCCAGGCACAGGTCTCCTTGTTTCTAGGCAGTCCTCCACTTAACACTAGGCTTTGTGCATCTCCTGGGTCCTCGTGTTTCTCACCTCTCATCTTGTAAACAACACAGCCCAGAAATCCCTGCCCTCTAACTGTGCCAGCCACAGTAAAAACCTTAACCTTGGAGCAGAATAAAGAAGCAGGAAATCCCAGACACCTACAACCCTAGCTAAAATCCACAACACTGACCTGAAATTAGTCTGTTATTTGTACATGAAAGAAGTCACCCTTATACAAAGGAATGAAGCACCTTCCACAAAACAAAGGGATCCCCTCCTGGCCAATCCCTTAAATTTTACCTGCTTAAGGTTAACTGTGTACCTCAGCCTCCATCACAACCCATAAAGTTGCCTCTAATTCCTTATATAAACTCTGACTTGTTTCCTGATCCCCACTACTGACTCTGACATTTATTCCTTTCCAAACAGACTTGCTGATCTAATTTTTATCTTTTAACAACACACTCCCTTATATTTTAAACTAAACGTTGAGACTTAAGCCTAAAGTCCATTATTTTAAACTTGATTCCTAAAGCATTTTCCCAGGTTTTGGTTAATACTGAGCGTGACAACGGCCTTTAATCCCTAAAATGGACTTCTAATTGTGTTGTTAACCCATAACCTGACCCTAAAATCTGTCTTTTGCTGGCCATTCCAGAAAACAAAATAGTGACCTTAACCTAAACCTCACCTAACCAAATGGACCTGACTAACACGAATAACTTCAGTTTCAGCCAGCAGGTTCTAAACTTCTAAAGTGACCTCTGACTTCATCTTCAAAGTCATCCAAAGCTTTTCTACCCACTTATCCTCTATCAGCTAACACCAAAACCCATCCCCGCCCTGCGCCTCACTGCCACTCCACTTCTCATCCGCCCCAAAATCTATCCCAGGTGGAGGACTGCTCCCCGGAAGGGGCTGCCTCCCGCAAGTCGTCCTACTTAACTCAGAGGCCAAGCTGAGACAGACTGGACGCTGACCTCTGTAACAGAGCTCGAGACCGGACAAGCAGAAGAATCGGGGCTCCGCCCGCCTCCCGCCTCCACCGGCCTGGCCCCACGGCCCCACCCAGAAGCTCCAGCTCGCCCCGGTCCGGCCTACCTGCGTTGCCGGGCTCTGCGCCCCGCCCGCCGGCCCTCTAACCAGCTCCTTCCCCGCTGGCTCTCGGGCTCCGGCCTCGCCCTGTCTTCGACACTCGCCCACTTCCGTCCCGGGAAGGTCCCCCACCCGCGGGCCGCGTCCTGGGCCCGCGCTCTATGGTCGCGGGGACTGCAGGAAGCTGCTCTGGCCCCGGCTCTCGATGCTCAAGAGCCCGCCGAAGACATGCAGCTCCTCCCCGGCAGGAAGCAAGGGCGCGGCGCAATCCGGAGAAAACGCCCGAACTGCGCCCGAGTTCCCTTTTAAACTATATTTCTTCCTTTTTTCTAGCTCGGGGCGAAGGCGGAGCCGGATCCGCAGAATCCCCGCCCTCAGGTTGTGAGGAGGCATCCGGACGCCCCCATGATTTGCATAGCCCCTGGGACGTGGCGCGGCCAGCAGGCCACTTCCAAGTCGGGGGAACTCCAAGTCCCAGAATGCTGTGGGACGGGTGCGTCACTTCCGTTGTGTTGGAGGTGCTGGGCAATTGAGGTGAGAGACAGCTCTGGTTTGAGAGTGACGGCTAGCCTTCAGGCTGTCCGCAAGAGAGGGGGTCCAGCCAGGTGGGCACGGGAGCCAGCTGTTAGACCGGGAGTCGTGTTTGGGGTATGGAGCTTGAGCCGCGTAGAAAAGCGAACGCGTGTGTTTCTACCCATCCTTTTCTTAGATGTCCCAAATGGAGCTGGCTTTGGACCCTGGTGACCAGGACCTGTTGGGTTTCCTGCTAGAGGAAAGCGGACATTTGGGGGGTGCGTCCTGTGAGGCCCAGGAGGCTCAGCTGGATTGGGAGCTGCCTCCCTCCCAGGTGGGTAACGGTCAGAGTGGCAAAGCTAGGGAAGTCCCAGGGTCCGGGAGGGTGGAGAAGAGTCAAGCCATTTTTTTTTTTTTTTTTTTTTTTTTTTTGGTCTGGGGATTGAACTCACGACCTCACACTTGCCAGTTGCCAGGCAGGCACTTATGCCACTGAGCTAAATCCCCAGCCCCCCCCCCCCTTTTTATCGGTACCGGGTATCGAACTCACGACTGCCTGCTTTCAAGGCAGGCGCTTATGCCGCTGAGCTAAACCCCCAGCTCCTAGAGTCAAACCTTTTTAATTTGTTGGAACTTTGTGCAGGAACTGAGCGACTGGGAGGTGGATTTGCTGAGCTCTCTGCTGAGTCCCCCGTCATCACTGAATTCTGTCGACTCCTCTAAAATCTGTCCTGTCCACCACGATCACACCTACTCTCTCTCACAGGAACATGGCTCCTTAGATTTGGGTATGAAATTAGTGAAGTATGGGGAGGAGGCGCGCCTATGGGCCTCGCTAGTCCTACTTTCCCTTTTGCAGGTAGTGGGAGCTGTGGAATGGTGAAAACCCACATGACTCCAAGTCATTTGGAGGAGCCGGCAGAGCAGGTACTTGACTCGATTTTCAGGCGGATTATTTCAGCATTGCTTGGGTGTGGCAGGAATCCCCCATTCCTTTCTGACATCCCCTGCAACTCTGCTGCCGCTTACTGTTAACCCCAGGAGACTGCCAAGTTGCTGCTGACGGAGGAGGAGGAGAGGCTATTGGAGAAGGAGGGGCTTGCTCTGTCTGGAACACTTCCTCTTACTAAGGTCAGACTTTTCACTGGTGGAGCACAAGCTGTAGGGAAACTGTGTCCCAAGTAGGCACATTTTCACTTTATATCAGTATTTTAAAAGACTGAGGTAAAGGGACTGGGGATTTAGCTCAGCGGCATAAGCACCTGCCTTGCAAGCAGGCGGTTGTGTTTGATCCCTGGTACCGATAAAAATGAAAAAGACAAAAAAAACCTTAAAAAAAAAAGACTGAGGTAAGAATCTTAGCAAATCTATTGCTAGTAGGAAACTGTAACAGGTCCTGATTTTGTGGGGTTTATATACTTTTTTTTTTTTCCTGAGAGATGGTCTCGTAATACAGCTCAGGCAGGCTTTGAACTCAGTCCAAACTGGCATTGAACTCATGGCAGTCCTTTTACCTCGGCCTCCTGAGTGCTAGGATTACAGGCATGTGCCACCACACCCAGCCTCTGGTGTTCTTTTCAGAAAAAGATTGTTCAAACTTAGCTATGCAATACTGGTAAAGGGCTTTGGAAAGGACTGTGCAGGCAAAGGGCCTTGGTACTTAAAGATTTCATTGACTTCATGGTAATCCACCGCTGGTTCAATGGTAAGTGTTTCAGAGTTCAACAAGGGTGGATCAGAGTATAGTAACATGAATAAATATAAAATTCAGTTTTAAGTTTCCTATAATGAATCACAACTTCACAGGCACAGTATTGTACTATGATGAAACTACAGAATGTTCGGGGAAATTTTTAATTTCTTAAAAATACAAGATGAACCACTTTCTGGTGGTGGTATATGCCTTGAATTCCAGCATTCAGAGAGGGTAAGGTAGCAGGATCGTAAGTGTAAGACCAGCACAGGCAACTTACTGACACTCATCTCAAAATAAAAAATGAAAGGTGGTGGGAAGGTAGCTCAGTGTGAAGGCCCTTGCTTCAGTCTGCAGTACTATAAAAAACAAAAAGGAGGGGGTTGGCTTAGCGGTAGAGTGTTTGCTAGCATGTGCAATGCCCTGGTCTCAAGCTTGTAGTACAGTTTAAAAAAAAAAAAAGTACAAGTTGAGCCAGCAATACGATGTGACTAGTAAAGTGAGTGGGATTTAGCTCTACTCAGTAGAGCTTCTGCTCCTGTTAGAGGTGTTGCTCACTGTTCCACTGGCCAAAGCACATCTTTGACACACATAAAGGATGTAATCCATCCTAAGGATAGAAGCTAAGTTGTCCAGAATTTTTTCCTTTTCTTTTGTACTGGGAATTGAACTCACAACCTCACGCTTGCCAGGCAGCCCTCCTTTTTAAATTCTGAAGGCTGGCCAGGCATGGTGGTACATGCCTATAATCCCAACACTTGGCAGAGGCAGGACTGCTGTGAGTTGAGGCCAGCCTGGGGTATAGTGAGTTCAAGGCCAGGCTTGTAGATCTACATAGCCAGACCCTGTTTCAAACAAAGCAAAACTTTGTAAATTCTGAAGGCCAGGCATGGTGGAGCATGCCTGTAATCCCAGCATGGAGGGTGCTGAGCCAGGAACACTGCATGTTCAAGGCCAGATTGGGCTACACAGTGATTTCAAGGCCAGTCTGAACTACATAGTGAAAACCCTGTCCCAAAAAACTAACTAAAGACAAAAATTCTAAGGAAATGTTAAAAAAAAAAAAAAGTTATTTTAAAAGAGCTACACAGGGTGTGTTCTATATGGCTCCAGAAAGTCTAGCTAAGTCCAGTGGCTATGAAATAGATGTTGGTTCATGATAAAGGAGTTTTTATTACTATTAATGAAATTGTTGAAAATGGACTGGTTTGTCAAGCAAAAGCTGAATGCCTACTGGTAAGGGAAGCTATAAAAATTATTCCTGCATTGGGAATATTGAATTTAGCCACCCTCCAACTCCTTAATCCAGTATTCCTGATACCACTTTCTCTGGCTTCTCACAGATGGAGGAACAAGTTCTCAAACGAGTGCGGAGGAAGATTCGAAACAAGAGGTCCGCTCAAGAGAGCCGAAGGAAGAAGAAGGTGTATGTGGGGGGTCTGGAGAGCAGGTATGAAAGGGAGAGGAAGCAAACTAGTTGAAGGTATTACTGTTTAATTTTAGGGGTTTTTTTAAGTGTTGAATTTTTGGAGGAAGGATATAGTCCATATCTGTTATTCCCAGGATTTTGAAATATACAGCTGAGAACCTGGAGCTGCAGAACAAAGTACAGCTTCTGGAGGAAGAGAATCTGTAAGCAACCTACCAAATCACCCTTCTTCCCCATTTAATGTTTTCTCAGTCTTTGCCCAGCCCTACACTTGACTTCTAGTGGGGCAGGTGCTTGGACTTTACTGAGTATGTGACTCTCAAAGCCCACAGTTAAATTTTTAAGTTGTTAAGTACCCAGAAAGAGCAAAGGGAAGCAAGAACTCATGCGACAGGCAGTATTTCAGAGCAGGAAGGATTGTGGGGATTGCACAGGTGGGGAAAGCACTTTGCACCACGGACACAGTTGGGGCTTGTTGGAACCTAACTTTAGCAGGCAAGCTGGGCCAGCAGGCAGAGAAGACAGTGCTTGGTGAAGATGATGTGTACAGCTGACGGCACTGGAAAGCTACTGAAGGTATTTGTGAAGGAGTTAAGACAAGGCAGGGTTTGTTTTAATTAGGGACTTCAGGCATTCTGTCCACAGGAATAGTGTCATTTGCGAAAATAAGAGGGAGGGAAGGATGCAGGGCACAGATGGAGGATGTGGCCAAAACAGGGTCTCACCGAGGCTCAGGGTGCTGACCCAGGGGGTACTCACTAGTGTCCCCTTACTCTAGGTCCCTTCTAGATCAGCTGAGGAAACTCCAGGCCATGGTAATTGAAATATCTAACAAAACCAGCAGCAGCAGCACCTGTGTCCTGGTGAGACTCCTGATGAGAAAACAGCCTTTTCTCAAGTGGTGGGACCAGCAGAGGTACAATCTGGAGCCCTTCATCTCCTTTTCTCTTGTATTCTAGGTCCTTCTATTGTCTTTCTGCCTCCTCTTTGTACCTGCCATGTACTCCTCTGACATGAGGGGCAGCCTGCCAGCTGAGGATGTTGGTAAGAGGCTTAGGGACACCCAAGGGCCTGGGCGGGGGAGAGGCCTGGGCTGCACTGTCTCCTGACAATTGCTTGTCTCCTCAGTGCTGTCCCGCCAGCTTCGTTCCCTCCCCAGTGAGGACCCTCCCCAGCGAGAGCTGCCTGTACAGTCAGAGGTACCAAAGGACAGCATGAATCAGTGGCAGGACAGTTCAGACTATGTGCTGCAGCCCCCTGGCAACTGTTCCTACCTGTTGTATGACATGCCTTGGCCTTCTCAAGCTGAGCCTCCCCAGCAGTGGCCACTCCTTGACCTCTGGTCAGAGGCCCTCTGCTCAGGTCTCATGCTTCACCTGCAGGCCAATCTCACAAGAAAGGAGAAATGGCTCCCTAACCACAGCCCTCCGTCTGTCGTCTTGCAGGGAAGATACTCAGGTTAGACATGAGGCTATAGGGTATCTCAGTTACAGCTTAAGTGCCCCCTTAAGCTGTCTGAGAGACTGAGGACTGAGAGAAGGTTGGCCTTCATTCCCATGCTGTTAGGATGCCTCAGGGCTCAATCACAAACATACTGGCTTTGTGGATCTTTTATTTGTACCCATGTGTGTCTACTGTCCCATAAATGGATACGAGGAAATCAACTGACCTCCCCCTGCATTTCATACAGTGAGGGAAGGGGTAGGGAAGGAAATAAATAAGTGATTTTGATGCTTGCTTCCCCCTCAGCCCTTCTTTACTGGCACAGTTGGGTGGGGGAAGGGAGGGAGCATGATTGTCCTGGTGGCTCAGGCTGCAGGAGTTGGGGTAAGGAGCAAAGACCAAGCTGGAGGGTAGGCTTCCATGGTTTGGAGGGCTCGCTCTGGGCTTAGGCTTGCTTTGGTCCACATATAGGCCCTGTGGTTAGTCTGTGCCCTGCTCAACTACCATCCTGGAGCCTTTTTTATGCTGCTGCTGTTGCAGGGCCAGCTGCATGGCCCAGATGCTCAGTGGTCGCATGTAGGCCAGCGAACGGAACACCTGCTGCTGGCAATATGCCTCTGGGGTTTGGAAAGCCAGGCCAAGGCGCTCCCACACAGTACGATAGCAGCCTTCCGCTGTCCGGAAGCCCTCCCAAATCAGGCCCTGTAGGAAGAGAGGGAAGTCATACATAGAACTTTGCATCACTTCAGCTGGGCAGGTGAAGACAGCAGGGTCTCTGTCCTCAGGGATAAACCTGAGCCAGCCAGACACCTGAAGGCAGGAGGTGGAATGTGTACAGGGAAAAAGGGGAGGCTTCAGAGATGAGTAAGACAGCTCAGAGTTACGGCAGTAGAAGTGGCTGAGGCAGTTCCTGGGCCACAGTGCAGACGGGGGAAGAGATGGAGAAGGCAGTACATTACCTCTTGGATCATGGTAGCCGCCAGCCCATAGACCACACCCACCCAGACTTCGTCAGACTGCACACTGGATCTATCAGGAACACCATGGGGCTGCATTCCATTCACAGCCCCCATGGCCCCTCCTGCAAAGGACTGGACGTTGAGCTCGAAGATAGTCTGGAGAGCACGGAGCACATGTGTGGTAGGAAATACCTGGAGGGGCAAGGGCAGAGGCAGGGATGTGGTCTCGTACACTTGCTTCCTATCTCGGGAAAACCCACCTTTCTCTCTGGCTCCTTTTCCTAGTCTCTCACCTCAGTGTCTCCTTCTCCTAGGCCACAGGCCTTCAAGAACCACTGTCCAGCACACTGGTCAGACATGACACTTCGAGACTGAGGCTGAGAGCTGCTATCATAATTGTAATAGCGGCCTAGAGTACAGGAAGGGCACAGTAAGGCTCCTGCCGGTGTTGCTACAACTGCCTTAAGATTCCTCAGGCTCCCCCAGCTCACCATTCCATAGCAGTCTCTCATAGGCTTCCTGGCCCCGGCTGAGGATGGAGGAAAACTTATCTTGGACATCCTGTGCCCCACAAAGAACAGCCATCTGGACCATCACAGCCACAGCCGCCAGCCACAGTCCTCCACAGTAAGCACTGATGAGGGATGGGTTTGGGGGTCAGACTGGCAGCTTTAGTCACTCCCATGTAATCTAACAGATAATGGGTCATTCCTTTTGAAACTACCATCCTATGATACCCAGATCTCCACTGCAGGCCTCCTGAAAACCCCTGCCCCCCAACCTGGGGCCTGTGGTGACCCATCCATCATAGGTTTGGTCTGCATAGCCACTGTTTTCAATGAGTCCGTCGTGATCCTTATCAAACCGCAGTTCAGATTCCATCACAGCCTAGAGACAATGGAGATTCCAGAGATGTAGGTACCAAGGAAAGAATAGCCAGGGGAGCTCTCCTTACACACCAGTTATTCCCCTGGCACACTGGCACTATTCATGCATCCCTTACTAGACACACAGGCCACATGTCCTTCAGGAAACCTTGGTCGCCTGTCAAGTGATAATCTCGATAAACCTGCAGCACAAACTTCAGGTTCAGGTCCTTCCAGTCAGCAGTATCGTGGATCAAATATGCATTGACCCGGAGCCATGGCTCATCGTCTGTGGGAGGTAAGGGGTCCCAGTTCATTTGCGTTGGTAGATAGGGTAGCGGGTGCAAAAGTTGAAGGAGGGAAGCTGACCATGGGGTGGAAGGAAGGACTGTTACCTGGATCCCCAATATCATGGGGAATGACGTTCCTCCTTTTCACAGGTCCCATTACCCCACTCATCAGGTACCGCCGCCGTGTCAGGTCCTCACTGAGAGTTGCAAGAGCTGGGGAAGAGACACAAAGGTGGGTAGGAGAGGCAAGGAATGGGCAGGCTGGGGTGAGGCACAGGGCTCGGTGTGTCCCAGAGAGAAGCCAGCAAGCAGCATGCAGGTACAGGCTTGAGGGGAAGGAGACAATCTGAGAGACCACAAAGGTTGAGCATGGAGAGCCAACAGGGAAGAAGCAACACAACGGTTTCTCTCACCCATGTCATACTGCAGGCTGAGCTCAATTTTGGGCCAGAGCATAATGAGGGCAAAGGAAGCATAAAAGTGGACATCATATGTGTTGTACATGCGATACTCTTGGCCTAAAGGAATGAAGAAGACACACTGTTGCCCGAATTCCTGCTTCTCCTAGTGCCCTCCCTTGCTTGTCCTTTAAAGTTGAAGGCAGGGCACTGTCATCTACTTGTTCAACACCTCTTCATCCCAGGGCATTAACTGACCTGAAGGGTATGCCCTGCTATGCCCTAACCCACCGGTAGCCCTTACCCTCAAGATAGCCAAATCGACCATATTCCAGAAGGATGGGGCGGAGCTGGCCCATGCTCCCTAGCAGCTCCTCAGGTAAGGAGTCTTCAGGAACTTCAAGCCACACTGTGCCTCCATCCGCCAGGAAGTATAGTTCATTGAATAGCGCAGATTTGTACCAGGCAGGTAAGGATCTTGGAAGTTGGAAGGAATGAATGAATGTGAACTTCACAGGATAGAAAGGATTGTGGAGGTCTGTGGTGAGGGAGTACTAAGTGAATCCCAGCACAGCCCTACTGACTTTGGTGGTACGCAATCACAGTACATTTGGAGTGTGAGTGCCTAGGAGAGACGTAAGGGAAGGCCCCACTGGTACCTGTCATCTAATACCGGGCTCTGCCATGCTGAGATTCTATCTTCCCAGTCTGCATATCGGCACAATGCATAGTGGCTAAGGGCGGGAGCTGCATCGCCATCTGAGCCAAAGAACCTTGTGTACCTCCTGGGTGGAAAGAAAGGGAAGGGATAAGGACCCAGTGTTCAGGTTGGAGTTCCAGTGTTTTGGATCCCTGTATTTCTTGGTCCCCTCACCTGTAGTGGACTTGACCCTTAGCTCCAAACATGATTCTGGGCATGTCCCAAGCCAGTGAAAACTCCAGGCAGCACCGGCCTCGAGGTGGCAGCTTTCCTGAAACACACACAGCCCCAGCGATGCCCGCTCCTTTCTCTGAGGGGTTGCTTCGGCCTGAGAATTATAAGAGGAATTAGCACAGCCACACTCTTCAAACCTAGAGCTACGGATCCATACCATGAGAACAAGGCCTATTCAATATCAGGTCTCCCACCCCCAACACCTCCCAGTCAGACCCCCCATCACCAGCGGGGGAGTCCAGCTGTCCATCCTGAAGTAGGTCCTGCCACACCTGCTGCCCAGTGCTGTCGGGATCAAAGGCTGTGATGTGGGTTACCATGGTGCCTTCCTGTTAAGGGGCCAGAGACTCTGTAAGGCAAGCTCCACAAGTTCTGATTCCAACTCACTCTCCAGCTCTTACACACCTTGCCTCCACAGGACTGTGATGAGAGTGGGACTTAGGGGTGACAGAATGGAGGTGGATTTTTGGGGTCAGGGAAGGGGCTCAAGTGCTAAGGTACAGGCTGGGTTCCTTCCTTACCGTGAGTCGCGCAGCCACTGCCATGGTATAGGGATTTGGAAGGGTTGGATGGTGCAGCAGCAGCCCCTGAACAGTTTCCCCATCCCGCTGCAGACAGAAGGGCTCATTCCACAAACCGCCTGGGGCATCGTCTTCACCTCCCAGGCCATTCCGCATGGAGAACATGATGGATACGTCCACAGCTTCATCCCCCTCATTTTCTACATCCCACACGAAGACTCCTACGGGCAGGCTGCTGTCCTGGGGGCAAAAGAGGGGACTCAGATTATTTCAATATATCCTCTCTCGTTATCTCCCAGACTTAGTCCTGGGTATGAAGAACCTGTTTCAAATACTCTCCTGTATATTGTCTTCTACTTGCATCTTCCCACATTCCCCAGCAAACTGCCTACCAGAGGACATAGAAGACTAGAATGGACCAGGCAGAGATCCTGGGAAGCCAGTGTAGTGTTCATGGCTCCAACCCCTCCCACAATTCCTTTATATGCAGGACAATGCAGGAAATAAAGGGCAACCTCACCTGGTAGTCATGGGGCAAGATGGGTGTGATCTGCCGACAAGTGAGGGTGATATTCTGGCCAGGGAGCTGATAGACAGTCCAGGCGCGGGGATAGAGGGCGTGGTAGAAAGCAAAGTAGCCACACAGGCCCCAGTTCCAGCTGCGCAGTACACTTGGACGCTCCACGGACAGAACTTGCTGGTACACAGTGCGTCCCTCCCGACGCAAGCACACTGTGAACTTGATCAAGAGAGCAAACAGGCTGGAACAAAGTGACTACCAGGCACTACACATTAGTTTCCCTCTCAAAGCAGCTTCCCTTCCAGGCCTGTGACTGTCACCACTACATTACCAGCCACAGGTCATCCTAAGGCTTTCTTCCAGGCTTAGCAAGTAATCACCAAGTCCTGCTGCCTTTCCCTGATGTGGAGCACTTGCCTAGCATATATAAAGTCCTAAGTTCAGCCCCTGGTACAAAAAAAAAAAAAAAAAAAAAAATCACTCGTAAAACACAACAACTTGGCAACTCCTGGAAAGTTTGAAAGATTAATAGCTCTCTCCTTGATTCAAACTATGCCTGATGTTTTACTGTCTGTAATGTAAGTTTTATGGTTGGAATAATGTGTAATAGTCAAGGCCATAGATTCTTTGCTACAGAGAACTGGTTCAGAATCTCAATTTTTAACCAATCATAGCCTTGGGTATATTACTAACCCTCTCTGGATCTTAATTTCCTCATCTGCAATGAACATGATAACAGGACTGACTTAGTAAGGTTTTTTTTCTTTTTTCTTTCTCGGTACCAGGGATCAAACTCATAACTTCGCACTTCCCCGGCAGGTGCTTGTGTCTCTGAGCTAAACCCCTGGCAGTAGGGCTGTTTTTAATATTAAATGTGCAAAAAGCTTAGCGTAGTGCCTAGACACATTAAACACGCAACAGTTAATGGACTGCACCATCCATGCTTCCAGAAAGCATTTCCCTTGGGATGCCTAAGGGCAAGGGGATCTGAGAGTACTGGGTAGGGTCTGAAAACCTGAATTTGAAAGGACACTATCACCAATGGGACTTAACATCTTCCAGCCATTTCTGTGAAGATGCACTGAACGCAGGAGGCATTCCTGACAGGATAGGGAGCTCCCTAGAGAAACATGAAGACAGGCCACTTACTTCTGGCAACTTAAGCCCCAGATATGTAGGAGCAGAAGGGGAAAATATGAAGCTCCCCCAAAGGGAAGACAGCTAGAGGTCTAAGCCTGGGAGAGGAGAGGCTCTGTCCCTGGGCCATGGAGACCTCTAGTAATGTGATCTACAGTCCAAGAGCTAACCTTTGAAAGTCCGCAAGTCCAGGAGAGAAGTAATGGCAGTATACCTTTTTTTTCCCCCCATGACTACACATTAGGGTTTATTTTTCCTTCTGGTCCTACCACATGTTCTTTCAGCCATGTTAAGTCACCTGGTAATTTTCTATACTATGTGCCAAATACTGGCACAGCTAGCAGAGTTGGAAGGATGAAGTAGGTAGGAGGCATTTACTAGAAAAATGCCAGGGCAGTTTATGCTTTCAAGGACTGCATTCTCTGTGCACTGTGTCCCTACAGCATACCCTAGCACAAGGCTAGGCACACATAGGACATCCTGAAAGCACTTACTGGCTTGAAGCACAGGTAAGTCTAAATGCCAAACCCCATACTGGTGCAGAAGCCCTTTTTCGTCTGGGGCTGTCTGCCTCCTGGATCTGACCTGGTCCGCAATGACTGTCTGGTGCTGGTACATTCCTGGGTTAAGCTGCCAACGACAGAACTGGCCCCTCCATCCACGGGTAATGGTACCTCCACCAATGCCACCCAATGGACAACCTGGAGACAGAATTAGGATAATTAGTGGGATATGGGGAGAGCAAGGCAAGCCCATTTCTCACTCTCTAGACTGTACAGATTGGTTCCTCTAAAAAGGAAGGGACAGAGCAGTGCAATGCTCATAAACTGTGGGGCAGACTGGACATTGGACTCTAAGCACGGCAGAGCTGGAGTGAGGCTCACCATAGATCTGTCTCAGGGGCACGCAGTTGATCATATCAATGAAAGGTTTCTTCTTTTCCACCTTGGTCTTCTGGTACCACCATTTCAAGTACCTGAGAAACAATGTGAGTACAAGGAGGTGGGTAGGTGATTCCCCACAGGCTGCAGTCAGCCTCTCTCTTGACAGCCAGCTGTGACTTCCCACTGAATGTCCCCGGGCCATCACCTAGGGTTGAAGTCTCTCCTCTTGACTACAGTTTTTCTACTCCTCTCAGTGCCTTTGTTTCTTTATTCTTCTCAGAAAGAGCTGTATGCTCTTCCCTTTCCCAGCTAACCACTACTTTAGTTCAAACCTCAGAGTTTTTTGTCCAAGGTGCTGAAAGGGTCAGGTACCCTTCCCTGGCCTACATTGTCCACTGTCCACATCCCATCTCTTGAACAGGCATAGGCTGCTGAGATAACATTCTTTTAAAAATAATTAATTTTCTCCCTGGCTATGAAAGGTTAAAATCTGGAGAATACACCAGGTAGAAGGAAAAAAAAAAACATTTTACCTAAAATTTTACCTGAAGTGAACCCGTGTTTACGCTTCAGGCCATTTCCTCTTTTAAGTCTGTAAGCTTTCAGACTTTGCTTTTTCATAATAGCCCTCTCAAGCCTAAAAGAAAAAAAACCTAAAGTTTTCTTGGTCCTGTGCCTGCCTTGTATTCCACAGGCAGGAGACTATTTCCAGTAAGTAAAATGATTCTGTTTCTAAGGCAAGGGCATCTGCCACAACCTGCTCTAATCTGTTTCCTAATCTCATCCAGGATGCAGTCTCACTAAGCTCGCTCTTTTCTGGTGGACTCTTTCCCACTTCTATTGTCTTCTTGACCCAATTATTTTATTTATTTATTTATTGGATTTTTGAGACATCTATGTCTATGTCTCAAAAAACTATGAAGTCTTGAATTGATTATGTGGACGAGGCTGGCCTCAAATTTGCAGTGATCCTCTTGCCTCAGCCTCCTCCCAAGGGCTGGGATTACAGGCATATGCCACCATGCCAGGCTCTACCCATTGTATACCCAATGCTCAGTCACACCCCTTCTAATTAGTAATTAGGTCAGCCCTTCAGCCTCAGTTTCCTCATTTACAAAGTGAAGAAACCAGCTGTAACTTCCTAGGATACTTCCTGTCCTAAGTATCATGGAATGGCAGAAACATCTGATGACATAATTGATAAGAAAGCCATAAAGTGGGATACCTGTAACAGGCATGATTAGTACTATTTCAATCCTTAATCAGACAATACCTTGTTATTTCAACATTTCACAAATGCCTCTGACCAAATTTTAAATTCCTTGGGGGAAAGAGTAACAGATGCTTTGAAATGTTACTCTCAGCATAGGACAGAACATTGTCTGCAGTACATAAATATTTGCTTAATTTACAATGGAATGAGTGTACAAATAATGGAACACAGCAATGGTAGGATGGAGCAACTGGAGGGATAATGTGATTAAAGAAGGCAGACAGTACTTTCTGGAGTGGATGAGGGTGGGAGAGAGGTGGGGCTTGGGGCAGAGTAGGGCAAAGGGTGAGACTGTTGGGGAGCAACAATCTCTCTAACAGTTTAAAGGAAACTGGACTTTGAAACAAGAGGCCACACAGGACTGGTGAAGGAAAGGAGGGTACAGGGGAGCCAGGGATAAGAAATACATAGAAGACAGAAAAGCACTCAGTAAAAACTTATTCAATGAATGGACTCTGGTAAAAGAACAATCAAAACCAAGCACTTACCAAGCCTAGGTCCAGAGAACTATCTTTCTGGAGCTCCTGTTCAGAGTCCCTTCAGTTCTGCTCTCTCTTAAGTACTTTCTCACCCACTAAGCCACTAATTAGCAGCTGGCCATGCCTGACCTATAGGCTTCTCCATAATTTCAACCCCAACTCAAGAATTACCATTCCCAATTTTTGTCTTACCCCTGCTCTCTCAAAGAAGGATCTAACTGTATCGCCAAGGTCTGTGTTAATGATCCCCACCCTTTACTGGTATGGGAAGCCAGGGTGGGGGGTGCTAAGCAACAGCTTCAGGGGTCTGTAACACAACTTATATTGCGGGAGTAAAAGGCTCTGATGCCTACCTATGCCTGACCTCACTATCCCTACCACACACACCCCACTGTCTTCAATATCCAAGATCCCATTTGAACCCACAGGTCTTTGGGGTCAAAATTAGATTGTCAATTCAGAAGCAGCCTGAAGGATGATTCTTCTTTGGTACAGGCCATCCTCAGCCAATAGCAAAGGGGCCAGACATCCAGGCAGCACCAGGCTCTTCCCACTTCCTGTGACAGATTAGGTAAATTCTTTCCATCATACCCTCTCAACACTGACTGGAGAAGTGAAGGGTCCCTTACCATAGAAGTTGTCAAGCCTGAGTTTCCCAACCCTTGTTTCCCTTCTCAACTGTGTTTACTGTGGGGACTGACTCAGGATGACTTGAGGGAGATGCTTCTGTCCTCACTCATATCCACCTGTTCCTGTTAATAGGTATGGCTCCTCATCCCTAGTCTTTGAACTTAGAGGGGTTCCAGATGATTTCCATAGCCAGGATGGGTATGGAAATCCCCATTCGGGGGGGGGGGCATTTGTGATCTTTAGGGGTCACAGCAAGCTATGGGAAACTTATCAAGAGCTCTGGGGACATCTACAGCAGTGCCTACCTGATCACAAGTGATCTGTGGTGTACTGGTGATATAGCTCCAGCACTTCTACCACTGAGCTAAATCCCAGACCACCTATTTTTTTTTGAGGAAGATTCTCATTATGATGTCCAGGCTGGCTCTAACCTAGGCTCAAAAGAGCCTCCTGCTACAGCTTTCCTTAGTAGCTAGGACTACAGGTGTGTATCACCAAGCTCAGCTCCATCTTTGCTTTTTTTTTTTTTTTTGGTCTTTTTCGTTTTTATCAGTACCAGGAATCGAACTCACGACTGCCTGCTTGCAAGGCAGGCGCTTATGCCGCTGAGCTAAATCCCCAGCCCCCCATCTTTGGTTTTTTGTATCAGAGCTGTCTCTCTCGGCACAGAGTGAACCTCTCCTCACCTCAGGAGTTGACAATAGGCAGGCTCTCATCTACTCTCTGGAGCTAACGCTTGAAGAGAGATAGGGATGAGTAATTGCTATATGCTTAAAAAAAGGTACAGAGACTGCTGAAGCTGCTCAGACAAATAAGAGTTGAGAATGCCCCCCCTCAAATAAAATACTGTCAGTACCACAACAGGGGGACTATTTTTGCATACCTTGCCAAAACGTATAGTAAGTCCCAAAGGGAAGTCTTCGGAGAAGAAACTACATAAGGGACCTAAAAGAGAAAGGTTAACTGGAGAACTAAATGTTTCTACTTTTTGACTATGAAAAGACAGCATCCTGGAAGTAAATGCGATATGACTTGGCCTCATCCTTCAAAACCACAGGCCTAAAACATGCTAGAAATAGGAACTCCTTGACTGGGACTACTTGCTTTTCCCACTTCTGGAAGTCTTCGAACTGAACAAAGTGAAGCCCAGAGCCTTCTAAAGCAATGGGTTCTACTCACCGGATACCCATGCCCAAATGCTTCACCAGGTTGCTCAACGAGATATTGTTAGCTTGAAAGGGTTTCCTCTTCTCTGCAAACTCGTGAGCCAAACAGATGCGCCAACCAAAGGGAGGCACCTGGTACCCCTTAGCTTTACCCTCATAAGAATCCATCAGCTGTCCACAGCCTTCCGGATTGCAACAGCCTGGCTCATTTTGGGATTGACTGTCCACAGAGATCTCGCGGTCCGTAACCTGCACAGCCGCGGTGCCTCCAGTATCTTCAGGGCAATAAACCTGTGGATGCCCTTTGGCAGAGCCGATCTGCTCCGACGCTGGGACGTCGGTTCCCATGTTTTCTAGATCCCGGGTCTCCACGACTTCAATGGCCTCTGGTCTTGAGCCTTCTGATATAAAGTATCTCGCTAGCCAAGTCCAGATCCGGGCGCCGGTTGTAGTTAGGTGCGGTCCAGGAGGGCCAGAGGCTGGGCAAAGCTTAGATGAGGTGGGGTCTTAGTTGAGCCGGGGAGCTGTTGCTGCAGTGACAGCGGAGATAGCAATAAAGCCGCCCTGTGCTCCCCTTCGGTCGTGTTTCTAGGTCCTGGGCGGGAAAGGTTGGGCCTCGTCGTCATTGGGCCGTGGTTATGAGCTCGCCCGGCCAAAGGTAGACAGGACCAGCGGACAGGGGAGGAGCCGCGGGGCCAACCCTGAAGGCCCCGCCCCGGGACCGGCCCAGGAGCCTGCGGCGGCCTCGGCCCCGCCCCCGGGCCGTGGCTCCAAGTCCCCCAGGGCTGGGCGCCAGGTCTCGCCCGCCGGGGTCCCGGGCAGCGCCCGCGCCCAGATGCCAGCCCCTGGGAAGGTGCCGGGACCCCCCAGCCCCTTCCGGCCGGAAGCACCCGACCGGTCGTCCCGGAAGGGGCTCTGTGGGCGGGGCCCCGGAAGGAAGTCCCGCCCCTGCTGCGCCAGCGACGTCTGGGACGCTGCAGTGTACCTGGCTCGGTAGTGGAGGCCCTTGCAGGTGAGGGCCTGGGGACTTCGAGACAGATTTCGACTGTGCCAGGTGACAGGGGGCCGTGTTCTTGGGCTGGGGTCGTGGACATTTCAGGGAAGAAGGGTGGAGGCCAGCCTGGGAACTCCGGGGGTAGGGGAACTAACCTGGCGCAGAGGGGAGCGGAGTCTGGGATCTGAGCAGTTTGCAGCCCTGCGTCCCCCTCATCCGCCTGCCAACCTCACAACTCTGGGTCTTCTTTCCGTCACCTAGATGCTACCCCTGGCTGCCGCCTCCCAGGTCGCCCGAAACTTTACAAAGAAAAGCCCTACCTCACGTCCTGGCCCTAGTGACACCCCTTGGTGCCCGCCTGAGATAGTCCCCTCCTGCCATGATGCTGACCTCTGATCCGTGTTTTCTAGATCTGATTCCGGAGCTGCCATGATTGAAGTGGTAGCGGAGCTGAGCCGGGGTCCGGTGTTTCTGGCGGGGGAGGCGCTGGAGTGTGTGGTGACTGTCACCAACCCTTTACTCCCTACGGCTACTTCTGCATCTAGGTGGGATTGCTGATGCCTAAGGTGGTGGCCCTTAGGGAGGGAGCGTGGTATCTCTGGTGCTGACCGGGAGCTGAGGTTGTCATCATTATGCTGTCATTGTAGGAAAGGTTTATTTTAACAGAAGATGTGCGTGACAAAGCTCTCTTCCTCCTTGTCCCTCCCCCCACCCCTATTCCCTTTTGTATCCACTGTGTATTCCTCTTTATTTAATGGTTTCTCTTTGAGGGTTCTAGGTTTCCTGATCCCTAGGACAGCCACCTAAATTGTTTTGTTTCATCACACAACGTGGTAGGGGGTTTGAGAAAGCATGTGTGAGGTCAGGAAGTGTCCTCTGATGTTTCCTTTTCCTTTCCCTACAGTGAGGCCCTGGCCTGGGCCAGTGCCCAGATACACTGCCAGTTTCATGCGAGTGAGAGTCGGGTAGTACTGCCTCCCCCTGACGCCAGTCAACCAGATGTCCAGCCTGACAGCCAGACTGTCTTTCTGCCTCACCGAGGTTAGAGATAGAGTGCTTGCCTTGAGAAGGGTTGTGGTGGGGTCACTGTCACCTAAAGGTGAAATTAAGTTTTTTTAATCTGTCATAGTCTCCATCACATGAGGGATAGAGGTGGGAAGTAACTATAGTTTTGAGAGTTTATGACTGTTCCAATGTCTCAACAAGAAAAGGGGAATTTGCGGTTCTTTACTGCCTGTTAGTATACTAGCCTTGTCCAGTGTTGGCTAATGGAGTCACTAAATTGTAATCTTTTTTTAGGTGAAAGGGGTCAGTGTATCCTTTCTACCCCACCAAAGATTCTATTTTGTGACCTGCGGCTAGACCCTGGGGAATCAAAATCATGTGAGTGACCCCCCCCCCATTACCTTCCTTCTAAGTCTCCTGGCAGAGGATACCTCTGGCTGCCTCTGGCTGCCCTGACTGCTGCTTCCCAACCAGACTCCTACAGTGAAGTGCTGCCCATAGAGGGACCACCCTCCTTTCGGGGTCAGTCTGTCAAGTATGTCTACAAACTGACCATTGGCTGCCAGCGCGTCAACTCGCCCATCACTTTACTCAGGGTCCCTTTGCGGGTTCTTGTGCTGACTGGTAAGTAAGGGCTCCTGAAGGGAAGGGCGGAAGTAGAACCTTGCCAACACAGAAATAGTCTACGAGGGCTTGCAAGAAGAGCTGCAGGAACCCTTCCTGGTCTTGGGGAAGTTGCTAGGGAATTGGGGTGGGACGGAGGCTTCTGGAGACTGAGCTGAGATCTAGATCTCAGCCACAGCTCCCCGTACCTTCAGCCTTCTTAGGTTGGAATCTAAAACCTAACCTTTGTTCTCTTTTCTGTTTCCTGTCAATGTTGCCTCTCTATTCGTTCTCTCTAGGCCTTCAAGACGTCCGGTTTCCCCAGGATGAGGCTGTAGCCCCATCCAGTCCATTCTTAGAGGAGGATGAAGGCGGAAAGAAGGATTCATGGCTAGCTGAGCTGGCTGGGGAGCGTCTCATGGCTGCCACGTCCTGTCGCAGCCTCCGTAAGAATCATTGCAGAATTGATTCCCCTTCCCTTCTCTCAAAATATACCTAAGAGACAGTTTCCTAGCCTGCATGGTTTGATGGATCCATTGATATCTCACCCCCAGATTACAAAGGAAAGCCCACCTTTTGACCTTTGGGAACTGGTCCTATACACTATGCTGTGGACTGCAGGCTTAAGGCGTCTTATCCCCTCCAGATCTGTACAATATCAGTGATGGCCGAGGGAAAGTTGGGACATTTGGCATCTTCAAATCTGTGTACAGACTCGGCGAGGATGTGGTGGGGACCTTAAACTTAGGAGAAGGAACTGTAGCTTGTTTGCAGGTGAGAAGAAAAGGGCTTCTGGGGTCCAGAGCATGCAGGGCTGGGGTGGGAGGAGGGATGGTATGGAGAAGTGGATGGTGGGCTCACCCAGGGTCCCTTTGGTAAAATAGCTTGAAGTTAGAGTACTCTCACGTACAGTTCTACTTCCAAAAGCCTGCTAGCTGTATGCTGTCTTTTCGCTCCCAGTTTTCAGTAAGCTTACAGACTGAGGAGTGTGTACAGCCTGAGTACCAGCGGCGCCGTGGGGCAGGGGGTGCCCCCTCCGTGTCTCATGTGACTCATGCCCGGCACCAGGAGTCCTGCCTACATACAACCAGAACCAGCTTCTCTCTCCCCATCCCTCTCAGCTCCACCCCAGGCTTCTGCACTGCCATTGGTGAGATCTTGATCATTATTGGAGAAGGGACTGTGGGGAGATAAAATTCTGTGTTTAGGAAGAGTATCACTGGTTCTGATTCCTGCTGTACTTCTCCCTGTGCCCACATCTGTTCTCTGACCCTAACCCTTCTTCAGACCGTCCACCTTTTCTCCCATTTCTTGGATACCCTAACCCCACCATCTCTTACCAGTTCTGTAGAACTCTTTTCACTTTGTGACTCTGTGATACACTAATATCTAGTTCCTTAGTATGTTTACTTCACGCTGTCTAATTTTGATTATCCCCCCACCAGCCCTGGGTTATTAGGTGGTTAACACTGCTATCCTGAACTCTGGTTAACAGAAGATTTCTTTAAAAAAAAAAAAAAAAAAAAAGTCCTTAATCATAGTCCCTGCCCTGGGACTGTCTGTCCTCTTCCTAAACAGGTTTCTTACTTACTAACCACTTGCTGTCACTGGCTTTTACCCTTGCTATTCTAATGCCTCAGCCTATATCTTTTTCCTCCATAGTGTCCTTGAAGTGGCGATTACATTTTGAATTTGTAACATCCAGAGAACCAGGATTGGTACTGCTGCCCCCTATGGAACAGCCTGAACCTGCCACCTGGACAGGTCCCGAGCAGGTGCCTGTAGATACCTTCAGCTGGGACCTCCCCATCAAGGTGCTGCCTACAAGCCCCACCCTGGCCTCATATGCTGCCCCAGGCCCTAGCACCAGCAGCATAACCATCTGACACACTGGCCTACTTGCCCATGCTGGCACTGGATTCTTCAGGACACTAAGAATTCTGCACTTGGACTGTGATAGGGCCCTCTTTTTCCACCTGGGGCCCAATGGCAGATGAGAAGCAGGCTTTCAGCTGTAGCATTAATTTATTTATTCAGAGTAAATTGGCAGCTGCTAGTGGTTTCTCTGGAAGTGGCCGCAGCAGTGAGCAGTCAGCAGATGGGTGGTCAGGTGAGTCTAGCTGGAGTGGGGAGCAGGAGCCCCAGGAACAGGGGTGTTAGCTGAGCCCCACTCTAGGTCCGGCCCTCTGCTTTTGCAGGGCAGCCGAGGATCAGATTTTTGCACCAAGGAAAATTGGCAGGTTCCTGCCTCCCGACGAACCTCACACTCAGCAGGGAAGTCAATGGGGTGCTGAGACCTGGGGAATCAGGGATGGGGAAAGCATCAGCACAGAGAACCATCACTTCTGTGGACCCCTATTTCCTCTCCCAGCTGGCTTCTCCTATCCTCCTTTAGTGTCCCCTGGTCCTCCAAGGCTCTTTGCTACTATGTAGACTTGTTGTATAGGAGGAGTTTGTCTCTTCTAGAGCCACCTCAGCCTCCGTCACCTTGTGACTTCACAGCTTCTCTCACTCTCGTGGCTGTCTGCAGGTCTGGCTAGTCTCCTGCTGCTCTCCTGTTCATTCTTATCTTCCAGCAGTTTAGTCACTCTCCAGTCACCCCTCAGTAACTTACCCCAGAGGCATTCCCTCCTGCCATTTCTGGTTACTCACGTGTCACAGCAGCCCACACCGACAGGATGCAGACAGGTGCAGTGGAAGCAGTCTTCACGGAGCCAGGACTCACCCAGGGTGAAATACTTGCCTTCATAGTGACAGGGAGCTGGAGAACAGTGAGAAGCATCAGTGGGTTGGGAGTGGTGGCAGACAAGTCTCTTCTGGCCCAGGTGGTAGGAGATGCTGGTACATACTATCCCTGTATTTAGTCTCTCCCAGTTCACAGCTGGAGAAAATCTGGGTATTCTGACACAGGGTCACCTCCGAGCCCTCGCTGCCCCCTGTTCTGTCCCCCAGTTCCCTTGGCTTTACAGCCTTTCCTAAGCCCTCTTTCCACTTTACCTTGAGCTTGGAAGTAACATTTGGTGTGGACTCCTGGGCATTGCAGGAGTAGAGACAACACCAAACAGATGACCCCCCAGCCTCCTAGGGTACCCTTGGCCTCTGTAGCCCAGAGCATCCTTAGCCCCATTCCTGTGGTGCAGCCCTCTCAGACCCTTCTTAGCTTCTGCTCAGGCTACTCTGATCTTCTCTCTTCGGTTTTTCTCTGCTTTGCCCCTTGGGTTTGTTTCTCTCCCTGCCCTCTTGCACAGGCTGAGGATGTTTATAAAGTGAGGACCCTGGCCCCCTGCTGAGTTGAGCTGGAAAGGCTATAACTCTGTTTCCTGAGGTGAAGGCGTGAAAACAAGAGGTCCAGGTTTAACAAGCGGTCCAGGTTTAACAAGCTGTGAGAGCTGATTCATGCCCCCAGCACAGCTTTAGGGAGGGTGGTGGCCATGGAGGGGGCACTGAACTGGGCACATCCCCAGCAAGGAGGTGGGAGGATGTAGGCCCCAGGTGGTCACCAGATCTCTTCCCCCACCTGGAGAGAAAGCCTTCTGCCATCTTCCTTCCCCCCACTACCACCACAAGTGTTGTGTTGGGATCCCTGCCTTGACTTGAGGGAGGCACTTCCTGGGGATGGCTGATCCTGTGCCCCAGCCAAACTAGAGCTGCGGTAGGGTACAGTAGCCAGTGGTTCCGGGAGAGAGCATGCACCTGGAGTGCAGTGTTACCCTAGGATCCTGGCAGGGTTTGCCTCTTGGATCTGAGAAGCAGGATGGGGAGGGCTTTCTCTCTCTCTCGCTCTTTTTTTTTTTTTTCTGTTATCCCGGAAATCAATTATCCATTGTTTTGTCACTTTCAGACATTAAATGGATATCAGATTATCCTAGGCTTGGGATGTTTCTGTTCTTTCAAAGAGGAACATTGCCTTGAAGCCCCCAAAGAGTATCAATCACCAGTTTCACAGGAATCAGTCATGAGTTTCCTCATGATGGGATTTAGAAATTATCCTCCTTTGAGCTTCCTGCAGGTTTTGCAGTACCTACGATAGTGATGGAGAGCAGAGGGTAGAGTCAGGCTCCTGGGGTTCTGTCTGACTCTACTTCCTAGCTGTGTGACCTCGGGGAAGTTACTTCCTTTTTCAGCCTATTTCCTTATCTATAAGTTGGGAACAAAAATGCCAACTTAGAGTTGTTTTGAGGTACTGCTCTGAGTGCCATCTGTGTGGCACACAGGCCCCTCAGATGATAGCTACAAAGAGGGTGTTTCTTTGGACGATACCAAGCAGTTTTGTATACACAGCTGAGGGTTTCTACTGGGGACTTCTGGCTGACTTTGTCTCTTTTGTGCTCACCTCCCTGATAAACCCACCACCTTCTTCAGAAACAGGTGCCCTCAGGAGCATTTTATTTTTGGTCCTTACATTCTTGAACTCTGGATTTGGTTTGAGAAATGACGTTGCTGATTGTCTCATCTTTTTTTTGTCTTTGTTTGTTTTTTGAGACAAGGTCTCACTAGCTATTCCAGGCTGGCCTTGAACTTGCAGTGATTCTCCTGCCTCAGCCTCTGGTTCTGGGATTATAAGCATGCGCCACTATGCCTGTCTTCTTATCTTTTTTACAGCCACTTTTAGGACTGCTCCTTTTTCTCATTAGAATTCCGACCCTTTTCTTCCCATCCCCACTCACATGAATTCCCAACTTCTTTGTCTCTGTCTCTGTCTCTGTCTCTGTCTCTGTCTCTGTCTCTCTTCTATCTCTCTCTTTCTCTCTCTCTCTCTGTCTTTAAATAGTACTGGGATTTGAACACAGCAGTCACACCTATACCCTTTTTATTTTAATCAGGTATTTTTTATTTTTTAGTTTTTTCACCCTTTTTATTTTGAGACAGTCTCACTAAGTTGTCCGAGCAGGGCTCAAACTAGTAGTTCTCCTGCGTCAGCCTCTGAGAGTGCTGGGATTACAGCCATGCACCATCATGCCTGCTCAGTTCTTCCATTTGAGCCCTCTAATGTTGGCCATAATTTTGGTGCTACAGGCCCTAACCAATTGGATTTATTTCACTTTTCTGCACCTCAGAGGGCCATGTTCCAGCTATTCCCTTCTCACCTCCAGGAAGAATCACTTTGGCATTTAATCTCTTTTTTTCCTTAAGTTCCTACTCATTTACTGCAAGACTCACTTGGTCACCTGGTCTATCAGATGCAACTACTTCTGAAAGACTTCTGCTAAAGTCGCCTCTTCCTTCAGAATTGACTGTCCTTCCTTCAGAATTGACAGACTTTTTCAGTGTCCTCTTCTAAGATAGCCTTCCCTTTCCCAGGAGTGTCAAGAGCAAAAGGAAACTACATTTGTATCAGGGTGGGGTGAGGCAGGCTGGTGTTGGGAGGCACTACATTGGACTGCTCAGTTGGCTGGAGCAGGAGGATTAGAAGGCCTGTATAGCACAGAGAGATGGGGAAGACTGGTCAGTGGTCAGTAGCTGGGGAGCTGCCTTTGGGCAGGGCCAGAGGTGGGGGCTGGGGAATGCCTTCTGCAATTCCAGGATGGACCCCAATAGGAAGCAGGAGAGAATGGAGGCATTGGTGATACCAGGTGAGGGGGAGCCCTTTGGGTATTGGTACCTGTGGGGTAAGGCAGGAGAAGTGAAGGTTAGCCACCTGCCAGGGTGATGATGACTTGGGCATTGGGCGGGGGTGCTTCAGGAAAGGCAGAAGCTGAAACGGGCAAGGATTCCACTCATCCTTGGGGGTTGAGGATTTGAGCTCCTAACGGAGCGTGTGTATATGGGCTGTCGGTGCTTGGGCTTAGGCCAGGAGTCCCGGGGGAGCGGCTGTTTGGGACTCTGGTGGCAGGGTGGGAGGAGTGGTTGGTGCGCGCGGCTCCGGGACAAGGAAAACATCCGCCGGAGGCCCTGCTGGGCTGTGCTCCAGCAGCAGCGGGCAGGTGTGCGGGGAAAGGAAGTGAGCCAATTCCGGTCCCCTAGGCTGGTGGCTGCCCTCCCCCTCCGGTGAGTCACCTTGACCCTTGCCCGCACTGGGAGGTAGAGAGCAGCCACCTGAGGGGGTCCCAGGAAACGAATTATGGGAGAGGGGTCACTGAGGGGCCTTTGCCTTGGTGTGCCAAAAGCACGCTGAAGAGTGTCGTTGAATGCAGGCGGGTTGGGGGAAAAGCCACTGGGAGAATCTCCAGGGCAGGAGGATGGAGTAAAGGGAAAGGGGTCTGTGGACATGAGGTGGGAGGAGGCCCAGAAAGGAAAGTAGGGTGCTGTTGGCAGAGTAACAGGAAGGAATGAGGCCAGGTTGGGCTTTGGAGAACAGGAGAGAGTCCATCAGGTAGGCAATTGGCCATTTGCATCATGAGGTTTGTCCAGAGGTCTGGGGACAACAAGGGTAGGTTTTAGGGAGCAGTGGGAGTCGGCTGTTTGGGTACAGCTGTGGTTAGGGCATTGGAGGTTTTCAGGGTGTGGATAAAGGACTCTCATTTGGTCTTGAAGGTAGCATGGAGCAGTGGTATGTGGCTTAAAAGCCAGGAATCGCAGCACACTGAGGCCAGAGGATGCAAAGCACAGCAGAGGGAACGACTTAGGGAGACCCTGTCACCAAATCTACAAAGGGCCCGGGAGCGACAGCGAGTAGGATGGGGGGTCTGGGGATACAGCTCAGCAGTAGAGCTCTCCTGGGTTGAATCCCCAGTACTCCCCACCCAGCAGGGTTATTAATGGAGTATTCCTGTCCACTAGCTTTTGCCCCCATTCCCCACCCCCAAAAACACTGATGTGCTCATTTTTATGGTCATTTAAAACTGCATGGTTCCAGCCATCATGATTTAAGTAATTTTGTCAGATTTTAAAGAGCTAAGTGGAAATAAAATTTGAAAAGTCAAAAATCTCATTCAGCATTTGATTTAAAACCTTGCAGCTTCTTGAAACTAGTCTTGTTGTGTTGAAATTCTACTTTTACGCCAGTTTTTTCTTACTGAGTGGACTATTTTTTTTTTTCCCTCAATTTTTTTTTTTTGTCTTTTTCCTTTTTATCGGTACCAGGGATCAAACTCACGACTGCCTGTTTGCAAGGCAGGCGCTTATGCCGCTGAGCTAAATCTCCAGCCCCCAACTGGACTCTATTCTTGCAGGGCCTCAGTTCCTGCCTGTCAGTAGTATACCCCTTCTGCTTTTCCTCTGTGTCTTCTCTGTCTCTCCCTCTCTTCCTCTCTATTCATTCATTCATTCATTCATTCATTTTTGTGATTTTGAGACAGGATGTCGCTATGACTGTAGCCCAGGTTGCACTGGCCTGGAACTCACGGTGATCCTTTGGATTCACAGCCTCCTGTGCTGGACAGTGGGCTCACATCACTGTTTCTGGCTACTCATCTAACCTTAGCTTCCCCTTGCATAGCTTTTAACCTGCTCCATGTTTCCTGAACCATGTAAAACTTTTCTCTCTCACTTTTTTTTGGTACCGGGGATCAAACTCACACTTTGTGCTTGCCAGGGCAGGCACTTGTGCTGCTGAGCTAAATCCCTGGCCATGTCACTGAGAGGGGGGTCACTGGGTTCCAACGTACAAAGACAATAAGGTTAATTATTTCCTTCTATGAGGATGTGTAGCTATAAAGTGTCTTTACCTTATAGCTGATAAAGAGAAAGTTATAGCTGTTGAATTCATGATAGTGTTTCTGCGCATTGCACTTTATTTGCCTGATTTCTGGAATAGTACTTGATACCTCAGAGAGGAACACTGATGTCATGATCCTTATAATTTGTGTTATCCTGGGCCAAAGGCAGTTTTTTTTTTTTTTACACTTTTTTTTTCTTTTTTCTTTTTACCAGTACCGGGGATCAAACTCACAACTGCCTGCTTGCAAGGTGCTTATGCTGCTGAGCTAAATCCCCAGCCCCACCAAAGGCAGTTTTAAAGATTAAAACCCTGAAACTTTGAGGTTTTGTTTCCAAATAAGCAAGTTTGGGTCAGTTAATGAGTAAAAGCTTCCCTTCACGGGCTGTGTGGATTTCCCTTGCCCCAGCTCCGCCTTGTTCCCAGTCCCTTTGCCTGCCTGTATTCTGCTGGGCATCTTCAGGGGAAAACTTCACATCCACTTCCTCTACTACAAATTTTCTGCCTCCCTTCATCTCTGCACTTGCTTTGCCAACATACACTAGTACTTCTTCACTGCGTTTTTAAACCCACAGTCCTTTCTGTGTGTTTTCCATCTTTAACTCTCTCTTGTTGGCATTCTCTTTTTCTTCTTTGATGAGACCATCGGTTTTTGAAAGGCTAGGCTTCAGTTTATTCTGTACGGTCCACTTCTGTTTCCTTCCTCTTGTATTGCCTTCTTTCGTATTCTAGACTGTTTCCATTATATTTGGTTTCATCAAAGCTTTGACCTTTTTCTTGTGTTTAAAATCCTTCCTACCGGGCCACTTCCTCCAGGGGCCCGGTATTTGGCTCAGTGGCATAAGCACCTGTCTGGCAAATGCTGGGTCGTGAGTTTGATCCCCAGTACCAAAAAACCCTAATGTATAAAATTCTTCTAGGGCTGGGGATTTGGTTCAGGCATAAGTGCCTACCTGGAAAGTGTGTGGTCGTGAGTATTCAAAACATAAATAAATAAAATAAAATTCTTCCTCTACATTTGGTAAAAGGTGCTATGTGTCCCTTACTTTTCCTATTTTTTTTTTTTTTTGGCTTTTTCTTTTTTATTGGTACCAGGGATTGAACTCACGACTGCTTGCTTGCAAGGCAGGCACTTATGCCGCTGAGCTAAATCTCCAGCCCCCACTTTTCCTATTTTAAAATGTTCTCAATTTCACATCTTTGGTATCTTCCAATATTCTGCATCTAGAAACATGAGAGGGCTATCATTGTAAAGTCTATAGAGGGACAGTTTAAGCTGGTATAATTGTACAGTAAATGTTACTCTCCTGGCCAGATTCCTAAATGCTTACAGAAGAACGATGTTGTCACACATTTGATCATGAATGTTGTACATACAGACAATAGGACTAATCATACATGTTTACATGTACATTCATCTTCAGTCTAGACTACACCCCAGGCCTTTTAAATTTTTGTATTTTGAGACATGTTTTTTCTAGGTCACTAAATTTCCCAGGCTGGGCTTAAACCTATGAATCTTTTGCCTCAGCTTCCCAAAGTGCTACATTTACAGGTGGACACCACCAGGACTGGCATGGCAGCTCTTTAAAGATTTGAAGATTGTTTTTTGTTAGCTGTTTTTCTAGGCTTTCTCTTTACTCCAACACTGTTCAGGAGAGCTTTCGGCAATGATGGAGATGTTTTCTGAGCTGTCCAGTTGGTAATCAATGTACAAATGTGGCTTTTTAGGACTTAGAATTTGGCTAGTGAGATTGAGGAACTGAATTTTAAGTTTTAAATTAGCCAAATGAGATGAGCAGCTGCTGTGTTAGTGCAGCCCTAAACTTTGTCTGGGGATTAGTACCCTGTCGTAGGACCTCTGCCACTTAAGACTTGCCATGTCTCCATCTGTCTTCCCCAAGAGAAGAGTTCTTAGGGAGGCAGGTGTTCTCTTTCCCTCCCCTTCCATTATTCGGGTTCAGTAAAACCAGTGGTAGTTTTGTGGACCCTCTTTCCCACTAGTGATTTCTCACTTTCTAGAAGCCCTTTTCTCCTCCTTCTCCTCCTTCGTCTTTCTTCATCTTCTCTTTCTCTTTCTCCACCTTCTTTTCTTCCTCCTCCTCTTCCTCCTCTACCTCCTCTTCCTCCTCTACCTCCTCTTCCTCCTCCTTTGTCTTTTTCTTCATCTCCGTCTTTGTTTTCTTTTTTTTTCTCTTCCTCCTCCATCTTTTTCTTTGTCTCCATCTCCTTTTTCTTCTCTTACTCCTCTTTCATCATCATGTTTTTTTTTTTTCTGGTACCTGGGATCGAATCATGAATGCCTGCTTGCAGGGCAGGTGCTTATGCTGCTGAGCTAAATCCCCAGTCTCTTCATCATCATCTTTTTCTTCCTCTTCCTCTTCCTCCTCCGCCTCTTCTTTGTCTTTGTCTTCTTTTTGGAAGGCCCCTTGTTTATTGGAGATTATTTAGGCATTCCTTTGTAAAAGAAACTCCAATTTCTTCTTTTTTATTCTAGATCTGTTCCTGGACCCTGGGCACATCCTAAAGCTACTTCTATAATAGTTCCTTTGTGTATTTTTCTTGGTTTTTGTTTTTGCTTTTTATGTTACTTTAATAAGTTGATCATCTTTTATTAGTCTGCTAGGCATATACATCCCACACCCACTGGCAGAATAACATTTATTTCCCACTGTTCTTGCCCAGTTGTCTCATCCTCCTTTGATTTTTTTTTTTGTTCACCATTGTTATCCATACTTTGTTCCCTTTATTGCCTGATGTTCTCATATCCCTCTTTATCCATCTCTTTAATGAAATTTTATTGTTTAAAATAGTTTCGTGTGTGTGTGTGTGTGTGTGTGTGTGTGTGTGTGTGTGTGTGTGGTGGTGGTGGTGGTCGTGGTGGTATATCTCTGTGATCCCAGCACTCTGGAAGACTAAGGTAGGAGGATTCCAATTTCAAGCCCAGTCTGGGCAACTTGGTGTCTTAGTGAGACCCTGTCTCAAAATTTAAAAAATTTTTTAAAAAAGAGCTGGGATATGCCTCAGTGCAAAAGTCCTGCGCTTAAAACCTAGTGCCACACACGCATGTGCACACGCACACACAAAGCTTCTGGGCTATCAAAATTTTTCTAGGAGCTCTCACGCAAGTCTGTGTGTACTGTGACCTAAAATTATACATGTATGATTTAGTGTGGATTGGGGCTATTGAATTAGTGGGGCTGAATATCCTGTCACATACAGTTTGTCAGCCTTGGCATTATTAATATTTTAGGCCATATAATCCTTTGTTGTGGGAGGCTGTCTTGTATGTTGTAGGATGTTGTATATATCAATTGTACTCTTGTAGTTGTGACAACCAAAAACATCTCTAGACCTAGCCAAATGTTTCTGGTGGCCAAAATCTCCCCCACTCCAATGTTGAGAATTTCTGTGCTAGAATATCCATTTTCTGAAATTGATTAGATGGTTATACTTTTTCTCCCCAACTGCTGTTTTATTTCTTTAAACTAATCTTTAAATGTGTTGTCTTTGACTTACTCACTAGGAGATAGCCTCTTAAATTCGTAGGTTCCTGAGCTCATCCTAGACAAACTGAATGAGAAACCCTGGGGATGGAACCCAGAGGTCTTATTTTTATATGACAATCAGATAATTCATATGCCCAAGGCCTGACCCTTCTATGGCATAACTGCTGCATTACCCACGTTTTTTTCCTGCAAGTCTTCCTGGTGCTCCAGCTCTGCTTCCGCGCTTGGTGCCTTGATGCCAACACAAATAAGAAGGCCTCATGTTACCAGGACAACAGGAACACAGGAAAGTGTAAAGGCTCAGCGCTCTGACAGGCATCACAGACTGTGTGGCTTTACTGGCTTCATTCTTCTTAGGGACTCAATCATACTGCTTATTACTCACACCCCAAATTACCCAGAATGGAAGATGGCAGATCCATAGCATGGAGCCTGATTTCACAGACCTGGTAGCAGCATATGGGATCGATAGGATCAGGAATGGTGCATGAAGCTCCATCCTAACACTGGTATTCCATGTCACCTTGCTGATCATCGAATTTTGTAATGGTGAGAATCACATTTCTTTGGGAGCTGCTTCCTTTTATTTATATTATTGGTAGCTATTTCACTGGACCTTGAGTCTTGGATGTTTTTGCATTCACTTCTAGTTGTCTTCATAATTTGCTTTAGGCCAAAATGAATGGGGTTTTGTTCGTTTGTTTTTTAGTTTTTTGAGATATGATGTTTCTGTGTAGCCCAGGATACAGTATGAGGCCTC